AGGTGCCCGAACCACCTCAACTGGCTCCTTTCGACGCGAAGGAGGAGTGGTTCAACTCCGAGTCCCTCCCGGATGACCGAACTTCTCACCTTATCCCTAAGGGAGACACCAGCCACCCTGCGGAGAAAACCCATCTCGGCCGCTTGTACCCGCGATCTCGTTCTTTCACTCATGGAATATTTAAAAGCTTCTCTTTCGTCCCACTTGTGGCTCCGCTGCCTGTTCTGGTTTTCCCCCTTCTTTATCGTATTCAAAGGTTGTTTGGTGTCGTTTGTCAGAAAGGTTTACACACCGAGGTTAAGCGCTGGGAAGGATTGGGCTCGACTCCATTTCATTTTTCAGAGACAGATCTGCAGGGCATGGGAAACCCTGCAGGGGAAACAGCTCTTATTTAGCAACTTTAAAGATATTACATTTGTTTTTGTGCTTTTTTTTGTCAGTCGTGATGATTTGTTGTGCAATTTGAAGGTGGCTTGTCATCTTTCTTTTTTAAGAATGGAGGAATTTTAAAGGGGCTATTTTATACTTTTTTTTTTTTTAACGGTATATAGGTTTTAGTGCATGTAAATGGTCTGCAAAGGCTAAAATCCCTAAGTTACCCCCAGAGGGAGTTTCTCTCGCCCCTTTAACATCTATATAGGGTTTGGACTGATGAGTTCATCGATCCGAAGACTCCATGTTTTAATGGCTGGATTTAAATTGAACATAAACGTTGAGATCTTCACGTTTAAATAAAAAATGAAGTTATTTTCAAATGTCTGAACAGCAGAATGACTAAACGGCATGTCATTGAGATCAAATTGTCAAATATGCGTGTTTTTCTTTTAGTTCATTTGGTTGCGAAAACTACAAAGTTGTGTACCTCTTCGAGTTGAATGAACCAAAGTGAGGTGAAAAGGGATGATTCATTTCCTTCCTTGATGCTTTCCCTGCAGCCTCTCCCAGCTCTGGATTCACCTCGTCTTCGAGGAAATGTTTCCACCTCGAGGGATGGATTCCAACAAAATAACTGAGCCGAGTCTCTCTCTCTTTTTTGTTTTGTTTCATAAGACCAACAGCTACTATAATATGTCAAAAGGTGGATGAGGAGAGTGCGGTTGTCTCATGGTAATTTCCCTCATCTCTCAGTCTCTCTGTAGAATCGCTTTCACGCATCTGAGATGTGTCGTGCTCAAAAAGTCACATCAGGTGAAGCTGCTGCTGCACTTCTCACCTGAGGAGTAGCTTCAACATTCAACCAAACCACTGTGACTACGGTTAAAATATGTTTGTTTTACATTACCCATGTATATATAATTAATTGCAGTGGAGGATGGAAATGTTTAAATTAATCTTTTTAACCTATCTGAAATATGTATAACCCCTATAATGTTGTGAGTGAGAGAGAAGACACCTGCCATACAGAAAGTGGGTTTTTTGAGAGACTGGAAATCAACAAAGAAGTGTAAATACTGATGATGACGTGTGATACAAAGCATGGATTAAGCATTGAACAAGTTTACAAAAATATCTGAGGCTGTATTGTAAATAGTGGTCTGTATTTCTGTCTTTGCTATGAGTGATTTGAAAGCCAATTGTTACGACAGCTCGCCCCCTGCTGGTGGGCCGTGGCAACGACAGGATTAATGAACTAATCCTGTCTGATCTCAGCTGACTGTGTATTATACCTTTAATCTGTGGCTTTTTAAACAACAGTGGCACACATTTTATCTGGAGAGTTGTCAGATTCTCTTACTCTCACTCGTTTGATCAGCTTTCATGATATTCAAAAGTCTAATCAGGGACACAAAATAGCGGTCATTTACATTTTACAAGATTTTATATCAAATATCTGTGATTACAGGGAGCAAATACATCTTACTTACCCAACCTGTATTCTTTTTAACTCTCAGTTTAACACCAACTTCAAATATGGCAGGTAACAGAAATAATAATAATATAGGTATTTTTCATTAGAATTCATGAGGTCTTTTTTCAATACAACAGCAGGGACATTATAAAATGTGTTAAACTGTAGCTTATTTTTTCAAAGAATCAATTCAATTGTAGAACAATAGAGTAGAATAAGGTAATATATTTCATTTTTGTATTCGAAAAGTAAGAACTACTACTGAAGAATATTTAGAAAGCTTTTTGTTGGGAGATGGAGATGGTATTATGTATTTATTTTATCATGTATCAAACTGGTTACCTTTAATGTTACAACCTGCAGGTGTGTTAGGGAAGTCTGCAGAGCCCTGGCTTGATGCTGCATTCAAAGTATGTGGGAAATATAATTTTAAAGTGGCTCAAATCTATACTCTTATAATGACAATGTACCACATGTGATATGTGAAACGGGGTCACTTAAAGTGATGAACCCACAGAGAATAATCACCCTGTCAACCGAGCGTTTTAGTGTCTTTCAGCTAATTTTTTGGTTTTCTTGATCTTGATTTAAACGGTTTTTGATTTACTCCGATTATCCCACAGTAGATAAAACAACGTACATGTGTCCAGCGCTAAACATAAATACATACATCGTCAGCATGTGAACCAGATGTCTCCCTCATGAGCGAAAACCAAAGAAATTAGCTAAAAGAGAGACAATATTTAGGCAAAATGTGTCTATTGGCTAAAAACACAACACCTAAGAAGTGTCAACATTGCTCTGTATCCGCTGGATGTTTGCATAAGCAACCATTTTCTAACAAGATCATCAGGTTAAAAGATGATGTTAGTGTTATCAACGCTTGTTTCTGCTGCCCTCAAGTGGCCAAGAAACGCGTTTTTCTTAGCTCTAATTAAGCATTTCATTACTAACAATAAATCCAGGCATTGTAGTCCAAAAGAAAACCATTTTATTTGATTATGAATTGGAATTCTATATAGTCTACCAACTGAAACTGGCGCCTACAGTTACCATATTTCCCACGTGACTTGAATGCAGCATGTCAAAATCAGGACTTGGAGCAGTTTCTCCCGACCCAGAACCTCAAACTCTCCGCCAAAGGGGATTTATTTCCTGACGTGCACCAAACCGCTAGCTTACCACATGCCGCTGACTTTGGCCTGATGTGAGGCTGCTCTGCCCCGAGCTAAACTTTGCTGCAACCAGGAATAGACTTTAGGCCCACGAGCAAAGGGAGACATTTCTCTGATAACCAAAGGTGAATCTTTCATTCTTCTGAAAGTCTGAAAGAGGATTTGGGGAACATGTCTGCAGGCTGTGATGATGTCAAAAAGGATGCAGAGGAAGGAAGGGAATAATAGCTAATACTAAGCGTGTAGGTGGAGATTCAGGAAGTCAGACTGTCTATCAGGTAAAATATGCTTTTTTCTTTCTGAATACAATTAAATGAATATATTAAAACAATACCCAATGTGACAGATACAAACAGAACACTTATTTAAAGTCACTCCTGTCTAGATATGGTATTGTGAGAGTGCTTGTACGGCATGTCCCTTTACCCCACACTTACCCACCCATGAATGTGAGATTTAATTTAATTCAAGATATAATGCTGGGGCAAGCATGTCACTGCTTTGAGCTCTTTAAAGAATGCCAGCTGTATTTACTCTATAAAGTATGTAAATATATTTATTTTATTTTGTATAGTGCCCTCTTCAATTTGTTCAGTATTAAAGTTGAACGGCTTCTGATGATATATATATTTACTGTCTATGGTTGGCTACAGAATCTCAACGTGAAACAGATTTGCTTACAGCTTGAAACAATGTGCTGCAGATGAGCTTCATATTTCTTTACACTCTTTTTTTTTTTTTATGTATAAATTATACAAAAGCTGCTTCGAGAAAACGGTGTGAGAATTTGTGACCTCACCCAGCCGCACACTGCCAGGTCACACCTCTTGTTTCGCCATCTTTATCGCTCGAAAACCATCGTGTTTTCCCTTTAAAGTGACAAGATCTGGTTTTCTGTGATGATCTGAAATGTTTACACCATGAACGGAGAATCTTCAGGTGTCAAGAAGTCGTGTGAATAAGGGTTTACAATGAGAGACTTTCTCTGTGTGTTTCTTCATGAACATGTCTGCTTGTGTGTGAATCACATGTTTTTTTTTTTAACAATGACCCCCCCCATCTGTCCTGTAATGATCCCCTCCTCTCCCTCGCCCTGCCAATGTAAATGTTTTGTACGACTTCATGGTTTGTATATGAGAAATGCATTGTAACATCATTTAAAAACCTTTGCCATGTAAAACACGAGAAACTGAAATGTCTTTTTTTGTTGTTATTTATAAAAACAAAATAAATTAACTGTGATGGAAAATTATTTCCCAAGAGTATTCAGTTGTGTTCACTGACGTCCTCCCACTGTGCACATTCAGGGTCCATTTTGGAGGCTGGTAAAGCGGATCCATGTCCGTCCACTTTCTGATATTCTCCTCTGGAAACAGCCTCAGGTTGGATTTAGCGCTGATCCAAACAGTCCTGGAGTCAGCCGAGTCACTGGCGGCCGTTCTTCCTCTGCTCCATTCTGTTTTCTCTATCCTGGAGGATTTAGTCACTCACCTACAAACATAAACATTGACACATGTTCTCAGTATGCTTCATTTATCAATGGATGGTCTACAGCTGCCTCCACTGGATAGCTTGTCAGTGTTATTGTGTGATTTTGTAGACTTAATACAAAGTTGCACGATAACACAAATTAACAGATCGAGGTAGCGGTAGACAAGCAGCTTTTGAGTTAAAGGGGACCTATCATGCAAAATGCACTTTTTGATGTCTTTTATACATCAATATGTGTCCCCGGTGTGTCGGGGAACTCACGCAGCGTCAGAAAATAAAACCCTCTCTCTTGTCCTCCGTACACAAATCTCTAAAAACGGGTGTACAACGGAGCTGATCCAGATTTGCGTCCGATATGACGTAATATCTGAAGTGTGGACCCAAGGCCCAATCAGAAACGTTGCTATCTGAAACAATGCCCGACTGTTTTGGACGTAATATGGTCGGTGTTTACATTAGCATCGCTAACACTCAGAGCTAACCTGTACTGGAGAGCATGTGTGTGAAGAAGCAGGAAATAAAAAGGAACTCACCTTGTGGTATAACCGGCAAGAGAGAAAGCCTTTGAGCTCCATACTGTTTCAGAGATAATCCTTGATAATCCATGATATGGCGTTTCATCACGGCAGTATTTACTTTAGACAGTAGCTGCCGGGTCCCGCATGAGCTCAGATTTGATCAATCTATTTTTTTTTTAAAGCTTTATACCCCAAATCAGCACTTTAGAAACAGGAAGTGAAATAGAGGGATATGAGGCATGGCTAGAATGGGTGATCTGTTTGGTATTTTGAGCAAAACACTTCATAGACATGTTTTTTATATATCTGAGACCTATGTTATTGCCTAAAAATAGCATGATAGGTCCACTTTAAATTAGGTAAAATAGCTGTTTTTGTCAGTAGTCTGGCTATTGACTTCAGTTCCCTGTCAGAAATGACTATCGGAGAGTAAAGCATTTCAAATATAAAGTCTAAACTGATTTGTTGAGGTGGAAAAATACAGTTTGTGGTTCCTTTGTCCACAGCTGTTCACTTTCTGTGTCTTTAAACTGGGGGCATGCTGACCAACATCGACTGACTATAGATAATTAGATCATAAAATCAAAAATTCCAAATATCTGAATGATCTTTGAAGTCCCAAGATAAGAACTGTAGCTGTCCTTTTTCATTTCTCTCCATCATTAGCTCAAAGTAGAAGAACCCACTCACCTATTTGCGCTTCTTGTTGCCTTTGACGTTCTGGATCTCCTTGGAGCTGAGGATCAACATGCCGTTCTTGAAGCGGCCCACCTGACCTGAGGGGCCAGAACCAGAACCAGAGCCAGAGCTCACCCTCTTCTTCTTGTCCCTGGAGGGAGAAACAGCAGCACAGAAAACGGTTTTAACCACAGATAGTAAGATGCATTGTTGTTAAAGAAGGATGCATTCTGTGCCTCGGAAGTACTTAGAGATAATTATGCAGCATGTTAAATAATTTACATATTTCTTGACACTTATTAAAAAGAAACTGTTTGTTGGTTCGAGCCTGTGTCTGTTTCATTATTCTTTACACCACCCTGTGATCTCTACACATCTTGGCAAAAACGTTCAAGATATATTTAGAAACATCTGTCTCACCCACCTCGGATTACTGGTCTTCTTCTTTTTCTTCAGCTCCTGTAGAGAAACCAAACAGGGCACAAGAACATCTCAGAGTAATGTATTTTCATTACCATTGTAATGTTTATTTTAATACGTTTTAATTGATGTAACTAACTAAATGCATGCAGGTCTCACCGGCTGAACCTCCTCCCTTGCTTTCTGCTTCTTGTCTTTGATCTGCTGCTGCAGCATCTTGTAGTTTGTGTATTCCTTCTTAGGAGGCTGATTAAAGAGACAATAGTTATGTTAAGAATTGGTAAATCAGCTTTTTAAAAAAGGCTGTTATGCTTATTAAATATGAACACCAAAAGTATTCATTTGTTCTTCTTACTCTGGCTCCCAGCATGACGGCTCGGTCCTGCTCAAACACTCTCTGCTGCTCCTTCTTATATCCTGTGATTCCAAACCGATGGACCTCAAGACGGGCCTGATGTGGACGAACACAAATACAGTATGAAGCCAAACGTATCGCAGATAGAAATTGGGCTGATTGAAAGTTAGTTATATTTGGGCTGCACCAGTTGTTTGAAGCTTTATTCAGTTTTCTGTTAGCCGCTTCAATCTGGTATTTTCTTATGGGGTTCGCAAAATCTGATGACACACTTTTTGAAGCTTCATTTGCAAACCTTAATAGAAGCTTTGAATTAAAAAAACAGACATATTCTAAAGACCTACATTATAATAATTACAGAAATAACAATCTCAACAAAGCCAAGCAGTGACAAAGTGAAGCCACGAGAAGAATCAATTCACACAAACAACAAAACTGAAAGTATAAATGTAACATATAAAAACACAACATTAAACTGTGATATAACTGTCACCTTTTCCAAACTGAGTTCTTCTGGCTGGTCGCTCTCCTTCTCCTCCGTTATCTTCTGAGGAGCCTTGAGGTGAGGACAGAAGACAACAAAGACAAGAGGAGAGGGAGGAGAAGTGAGTGGAGGTGACAGGAAGAGCATCAACAGAGAGGGTCAACTAGAGGTCACACGTCTATATGGATGAGGTTGGATTTTAAAATGTCAAACGTTCTGCACTAGCTAACATTGTTTGTTTGCAACTCGTTGTATAACTTGAGTAAGATATACTGTCACTTCTCGTTACAACAGCAACAGAACCCGGTGGCTTCATGTTGCAAAAGGGATTTTGTCACACCTTGCAAAAGAAAAGTCACTTTACTCTTCCACCACTACTTTTTCTATCTTCTCAAATAAGCGTTGATGCCACTGTTCTATCCTGTAAATCAATATATTTCCACTCAATAACAAAACCTCCTTTTGTGTTAACAAGCCACACATAATGTAAAACATTAACAAACATACAATGTAGGAGAATATAGGCACATACCTAAATACTTACATTAAAGCAATATAACAATTTGGTGTTGGTCCTACATTTACCATTATGCAAAAACTTAAAAAGAAAATGCTACTCTTACTTAACATTTACCACTAACATGGCAAGACAATGTACAATTAATGCACCGGGGAACATGTCATAATGTGACCTTAATCATATCAGGGTATATGCAGGAATCCTGAAGTCAAATGTAAAACCTTTTAAGACCTTTTTTAAGACCCTTTCCATACATTTTAAGACCTCATCGCCACTTGAGTTCTAACCGGTTACCTTGGCAACACACTTTACCTCACATTGACTATATACAGTATTGATTGTCCTTCCTCCTTATCTTCCAAACATTTGGACGCAGACTCGCATTTCCCCATAACGATGTTGCTTAGCAACCGGCGTAAACGGACCTTCACGCGCTATCAAGCAGTGAGCGTGCGATGTCCTGTTCAGATGACGTCAAACCCAACGGGATGCCATAAATAAACTACACAGAATCACACTACACACCTACGCAATGATTACATTCAGGCAGACTGTAGAATACAACCTCTTTGGACCATTTATATACTTATTGAAAACAAGCTACAAAATGTAATACCTTGGAAAATGCTCTTTAATACTTTTTAATAGCCTTCATTTTCGCTAAATTGATTTATCAACTTTTAATACTTTTTAAGACCCCGCGGACACCCTCCATAATGATTTGGGTAATTTATGTCATTTGTGTAGGTACACGGAGAAAACTAAAGCAGCGTAGACTTACAGGCTTTTTCTCAGAGAAAGGCTTCCATTTAATCCTTGGTTTCTTTCTGGGGTCCTGAAACGTTACGACCTCCACATTGCTCGCCGGCTGGATGGCTGGACCTGAAAAACACATCATAAGTTCAGCAAAGGCGAAACTAGGGAGTGAGGAAGCTTTACTGGAGGAAGTGAGAGTTAGAAAACATTTCAATGAGAAATGTATGTAAAGCTGCAGTGATCATATATTATTAAGTTCAAGCAATTTAAACATGAATGTAAAAAAAAAAACCTGATGACTTTTGGATTCAACCTGGAAACAAGTCAATAGAAGATATGAAGTCTTTCACATGTGAGTGTTGTAGTTGCTGTCACCTGTTTGTTCTCTCTGTACTTGTTGCTGCTTGTCAGTTCCAACATGATCTGCTTCTTCAGAGTCAATGCACACATCGTTGACTGCA